GGGTTTCACCATGTTGCCTAGGATGGTCTCGATCTCCTGACCTCATGATCCACCCATTTTGGCCTCCCAAAGTGCTGGGATTGCAGGTGTGAGCCACCACGCCCAGCCAGAGTCATGAGATTTTTAATGAAGAGCAACTTCCACTGATTTCTGAGTGTGCATCTGTGGGCCCCTGCTCTGACCTGAACAGGAGTGCTGTGTCTTTTCTGACCTCCACTTCTCAATTAAAGAGACTCCTGGGTTAAAGCAATTCTCCTGCCTCAGCCTCCCAAGTAGCTGGGATTACAGATGTGCGCCACCACAACCAGCTAATTTTTCATATTTTTAGTAGAGACATGGTTTCATCATGTTTGTCAGGCTTGTCTTGAACTCCCAACCTCAGGTAATCCACCTGCCTCGGCCTCCCAAAGTGCTGGGATTATAAGCGCAAGCCACCACACCTGGTCTTTTGCCCACTTTTTAATGGTTTTTGTTGTTGCTGTTGTTGTTTTCTTATAAATTCATTTAAGTTTCTTATAGATGCTGGATATTAGACCTTTGTCAGCTGCATAGTTTGCAAAACTTTTCTCCCATTCTATAGGTTGTCTGTTTACTCTGTTGATGGTTTTTTTTGCTGTGCAGAAGCTCTTTAGTTTAATTAGGGGCCTACTGGAGGGTGGAGGGGGTGGAGGGAAAGGATCCGAAAAACTAACTAATGGATACTACGATTAATAGCTGAGTGACGAAATAATCTGTAAATCAAAGCCCGATGACAAAAGTTTGCCTATATAACTGCACATATACCCCTAAACTTAAAATAAAAGCTAAATTTAAAAAAGATAATAAAAGCCTTCTGGTCCCAAATAGAACAACGTAGATGCAAAAAAGTGCTATGAGACATATGCATGATTAGCTCACTCTTCTTCTGAATTAAGAATTCCTTCCAAGAGAGTTCTGAGGTGGGCAGATTACTTGAGGTCAGGAGTTCAAGACCAGCCTCGCCTACATGATGAAACCAAAAAATACAAAAAATACAAAAATTAGCCGGGTATGGTGATGGGTGGCTGTAATTGCAGCTACTCAGGAGGCTGAGATATGAAAATCGCTTCCCTCCCCCCCGACTTTCTTTTAACAGCAGAAAATCGCTTGAACCTAGGAGGCAGAGGTTGCAGTGAGCAGAGATTGTGCCACTGCATTCCAGCCTAGGTGACAGAATGAGACCCTGTCTCAAAA